CTTTGGATGGGACCTTGAAGCTTACACCTTAATGAACAACCGAGTAGCTTTATGTTTAAAACCAAGAAAAAAACTAGTGTAGGAACACAATGGGTACTTTTAATGGCATTAAAAGGCCACCACATGGACAATTTTCAATCATAATTAAATCCCTGTCCTCCAGTAGAAACTACATTGTTTAAAAACTAGAAAGTCTTAAGATGAAACATATCAATAAGCTGAAAAAAGCATGATTCATCCCTAGCCTTCCTCTTCTCATCCTCATTGCACAAAAGCTCTTAAAAATTGGTTTCAGCATTTTTCTCTTGATTATAACGCTTGATCCCTTTGCCACTGCTAAATGCATCCTCTTAAACCAAAAATTTGCTAGAACTGTACTGACAAAACAGGGCTGCAATTCAATTTGCTATACTCAAACAGGTCCTCACGGAGTCTCAGGCACATCTCAGTCCTGGCCAGAGCCTTTCTACACTTTCGATGTCCCCATTGTATAATTGATACCTGAACCAAAGACGTGTGCAGTTTTCAGCACTGCAGGAGCAAAGCTTTCCTCTGCGACCTTTCTGCGTATCTACAGAAATAAGTTGTTTTACGGATATTACGTAGGGCTGAGGCAGAAAGGAACCGCCATGGCTCTGTCCCCTTGTCATTATGGTCTATTTAGCAACACCACCACCACAAATGCCCCAGTGCACAGGTGAGCTCAAAGCAGCACTGAACCTTGCTGAGGCACAATATATTCACGCTGGTGTGAAGCTATCTAGGTCCCATAGCATGCTGTAACTTACAGGCTTAATCAAGCTTTGAATAGGGATGGTGACCTTTTCTTTCTTCAGAAAGAAAGGACAGAAAAACAGGGGGGAAAAAAAAACAGAAAAGGAGGGCAAAAGCCATTGGGGAAATGAGATTGTAAGTCAAAGCAAACCTATGCCTCTATTTTACTGTATTTTCATTTTTATTATTATAATAGCAATCAAAACTACTTTTTATAGCCCCCCGTTTAAAAAAAAGTTCATGAACTGCAGGGGGTCCTAGAAATTTAATTGCAATTTTTTTTAATGTTGTAGTTATATCAGAAAATATATACTTCTAAACTCTCCTTTTAAACTTCACAATCCTGCATAAGTATTTACAATAAAAACTATCATAAAAGCTGTGTATTGGGGGTGGGGAATAGAAATTGAGAAAGGGAAATTTTTTCTTTGGTTTAAGGGTATATTAAATATTATTCTCTGTTTAATTTTCTTTGCAGAACATTCACTTTGCCAGGACCATGCCTAGTTTAGAACTGCATTTATCAAACATCCTTTGTAACCTTGAACATGCACGTCGGTTTTGAAGAGAACAGCATCCTGGCTAGGGTGATCCTACCGGTTCTTCTGGATTCTCCTGAATGCTGCTGCGTTCTCCTTTTGACAGAGACAACTTGGGAAGTGCAGACTTGAGTCCAAAGCTTGGGAATGTTCTGAAAACAGGGGGTTGCATTCTGTTCATTTCTATGTCTTCTACATTTGGCTCTCCTTCACCTCTAAGTATTCTAATCTGGAATCACCTATCATGGTTTTTTTGGAACAAACATTGGAAACCTGCTTCCAGTGCTCTATGGATCCATGCATGATGGCCTCTTGGAATTAAGTATGATAGGAAAAGGTGCAGGTTTTTTTGAGATTTCAGTTTTTTGAAAACGGAATAGAAGTTGTTGGTTCCTTGCCATAGCCTTGTTACCTCTTTTTCTGAATTTTCTCCTACCCCCCTATGTCATCTTATACGTGGTTACATTTAAATTACGGGGGGGGGGGGGAATAAACCAGTCTGAAGCAACCATTAAGGATACCAATAGATATCTCCTGTTTACCAAAACAACATTTGAACAAAAGGGGAAACTAAACTCTATTAAGCATAAAGGCTATGTTGGGCTTGTTCGTTAAGACCTGACCTAAAAAGAATGACTTACTATTTGCTTTGTAGCATGCTTTGGGATATTAATGACTGTTTGGCTAACAAGGATTTTGAAAGTGGTATCTTTTTTGAAATTTAATTTCATTTAGAGGTCTGCTAGTGTGTAACTAATTAAAAAAGCTTCTGGAGCTGAACTTTAGCTTACTCAAAGATGGGTAAAAGCATGTAGGACTACTCAGTGTTCAAGTCCTGCTCTGTACTTGGTTGTGTCATGATTCAATAACCAGACTGATTACCAGTGGATTACCAGCCATTTACTTCAGCAATGACTTCTCTAGCACCTGGAGAATGACTCCAGCATCACAGTTCCTTCTTTGTGTGCGCTTCTTTAGATGTTTAAGGTCTACCACTTAGAGACACTTTTAAAACTTTTGCTTATATAAAACACATTTTTAAGACATCATCTAATGACAAATATGTGCTGAAGATAAAGTTGCTGCTGCATTAAGGTACTGAAAAATATCAAACACCTCTCCTCTTGTTTTGGTAAGATCGTGTGCTGGTATCCACATATTGGTACTGACAAGCAGCTCAGAGTTCTTCATGAGAAACGATGGGAGAGAAATGGTAAAAGAACCATTTTATAGCCCCTATTGCAACCTCAGAACCAAGACTACTCTTTACTTCTATGCAGGAACAATGACCAGTCAATACTTCCAGTTATGGATTATGTCCATCAGTGATCCCATCTTTGGTTATGGAGCATGGGCCGGTATTTGGGATCTGGCAATCCTAGTTCTCGATGTTAATGAACGACTGCAGCAGAAAATAAGCCTGTGACAGAAATCTACACATAATGATTCCAAAACTTACCAGCACTTTTGAGGACTTAATTAATTATATGCTGAAAAATGCCCCGTGAACAACACCACCCCCCCAGTGAGGCTGTGTAGGACATAATGAGTACATTACTCTGCTTCCTTGATTCTGCTGCTTTCTGCATTTTTCCATGAGTCTTACATTCCTGCCTGCCACTGCCCACAAGTATATTTCTTTGCTGCCCAGTTTTAATCAGCAGAGGAACTGTGTACTGTGCACTCACTGAATATGCGCAGACATGTGCATGTTTACCAGACTAACAACCTCCAGGATCCCGTTGGATCTGAATTCCTAGCAGCGAGTAGCTGTTCCCAGCAGTATTATGTGGAGCCCGTTCGTGAATCCCAGCTCCACAAGGTGGCTCTCGATTCCTTTAAAAATACCACTGTGTGTGGATTAAACACATCCGAGAATGATCTTGAGAATGCTCTTCAGGGCTTTAAGGACACACAAGTCCCCTTCAGTATGCCATGTATTTTTCTTTCAGTAAAGCTGGAAACTAGACAAAGTCTGACACTATTAAAGTATTACAATTTGAAGGAATGTTTCATGTTAGCTGCTCAATAAAATCTGAAAAAGGAGAAAATAAAGGCATTATACATGCCTGGAATGTGAAATGGGACATTCAAACACCCAGCGCCTACTCTGTTCCTTTGTGGCTGCTAAGATCACCTTCTCTCCCGGAAGCGTCCTTCCCCTACTCTGTATCTCCGTAGGATCAGATTAACATAGTCATCAGGTACTGAGGGGTGCAACCTCTGCTAGTATGGACAGAGACATAGCAGCTTGGTGCTCCTCAGGAAAGAGATCCTGCCTTTGAAGGTGCGGACCCACAATGAGGTCTTTACTTGACTCCAGCCAGGGCTTCAGCATCCCCAGGCAGATCTCGCAAATCACTTCGTTGCTGACCACGTGTTAGCACGGCTTCAGATCACGCGAGGAGGTTGAACCCAGGGAGTTTTACCTCCTAGAGCAGATCATCTGAATGTGAGGTCCTCCCCTGCGGTCTGTGTCTCCAAACACCCCTGGTTAGATGACCGCAGATGATCACCAGCTCTCTGTGGCATGGAGAGTCACATGTGAAACCACAGTGAGACTGTGGCACCGCAATGTACCTCTGCGAGACAGGCTGGGCTGCAGCATACGTGCAAAGCAGAAGCTGATGGTGTGAACCTCATACTCAGTGCATAAGACTGGATAAGACTGCCCTCCCTCCTGGGTGCAGTTGGTGCTTGCTGATTTTGGTAGTCAAAAATTCAACTTCATGCGGCTCACATCCTAAGAACAGCTTAAGAAAACCTGAGTAAACTTGGGGAAAAAAAGTTATCTGCTTTCTATTGTTTTGGACATTTGAGGTCATATTTTCAGGTTTTCCACAGCAGGGCTAGAAATGTATTAAAAAATAAGATTTGAGAGTTGAAGCTGTATAATAAACACTAACTATCGCATGGCAATGCTGGGTGTGTCTAAGCTGTAACGTTAAATTCATTCTTCTTGTCGCTTCCTTCAAAGCTCTGCTGAGCTCAGCCCCTCCCTGGTTATCCTCCGCTGCCGAGCTTGCTGCAACCCCTACGCTTCGCTGCTGTTCCCACCTTTGTCCCTTCTCCTGCCAGCTTCTTGCACAACTGTCTTTCCGTGCCTTTGTCTCCACCGCAGTTCTGCTTGGCACAGCTTTTCCCCTTGACCCTTTCTATAGCGTGGTCTCTTTTAAAGATCAGTTAGAGTGAAGCCATCTGCTTCTTGTTTGCCTAATTTCCCTTTTGTTTTCTGTCTGTCTTTAAACACGAGTTCTTCCATGGAGAGATGGTGCAAAAATCAAATTGTGGGTGCTAATAACTACGCGTATTTTCTACAAACGAATCTGGTAGATCTGCCCTGTGTTGATCTGCACAATCTTTAGAGCAGCTGAGGTGGCCTTTCTGCTCTAACTCTTTGTAGTAGGTATCTGCCAATGGGTAAAGACTGTGGGGAGAATCTCTGCTACGGAAGTTCATGTCCTAGAGCCAGCACAATTTCATGAGCAACATCCTGAAGGATAGGCCAAGGGACATGTCTTTCAGTCCAATATGCAGTTTTTAGGTTTTCACCTGTAGAAAGCCTGCAGTCAACAGCCAGAAATGTGGTATCAGCAATGGAACCCAGTTCATTAAAAATTCAAATCAATGGAAACAACAGGACGTATTATTTATCTAAGCCTTGAATCAATCTGACTGCTACGCGTAATGATCTTAATTAGAAAAGTGAGCCGAAGCAGGAAGACAGTCTGTCTCCTGGCTTTGAAATTATCGTACCCCTATCAGTATGCTTGGGTAACTTGTAATTAGGGACAAAGGTTACACATAATTTTGTATGCTGAAAAACCGGTTTTATACATGTCATTTCAAAAAATATTTAAGAAATGGATATAAGACTTGCTACCCCTATTATGCTGTGATTTTTTGCTACTAGATTACTAGTCTGCACTAATTAGTTGATGGTCTTAAGAAATACTGATAGAAGCTTTACATTTATATAGAGCCTGGATACTAATAAGTAACTAGTAATATCAGTATTAGTCTTTGTACAACTTCCCTTCCAAAGTTTGGTAGCTTTTCATATCTCTTTCACCTGCATGGAAAATGCAGCTCAGAAAAGCAGCGTGGGTCATCCAAAAGCAGAGAATAAGCGCCTGCCTGTTCAAAAACTTTACTGGCACATTACACCAGCATGCCCAGGGTTACACCAACATAGTTCCCCATGCAGTCACCCACCCTTTTCTTCTCGTCGTGCTTATCTTCAACTGCTGCCATTGAATATGAAGTGTTCTGGTTTTGACAAATTGGCAGAGTCCTGTGATTACGCTTTCTTCAACATTTTTTTTTGACCAGCTGTAATTAGAAAACAGAAGTCCTAACTCTGAGGTCCTACCTCATCAAAGCAGTTACTTCCACGCTTAATTTAAACAAGTTCTTCAATTTAGTTAAATCCACTGAGCGGGCCCACTGCCTGGTCACAGCACAGCGTCGAGTCACACATGAGCACTGCTCTCAGTAGGAGCAATGCCTTATCTTCTGAACTGGAACACAACTCTTCCTGTTTTATCACAGATACAGCTACCCCTTTTTTTTCAAGGTAGTATTTCATCTTAGAAATTAATCACAAAAAGATCAAACTCCTTCCGTCACATGAAATGGCCTTGCTTTCCCAGAACATTATTTCCACAAACAAAAAATATGGAAATTAAAATCACAAGTAGGATCTGTTTCATCAAAGTATTAGCTACATTTCTGTGAGGTTGACAATCACCTTTTTAACATGTCAGGAATTATATGCGTAATTCTCTTTAATGGGTGTTAAAAATGTTCATCCCACACTGAAAAAAGATCACAGTTGGTATGAGTAATAACTTTTTTTCTTGAACATCAACAGTTCCCCTCTAGCTCTGTGCATATCCTCCAACATCAATGTAACCACAGCTGTCAAGGCAGCCTCACCTCTTTCTATGTATATTTTAGCTTTAATTTTTTCCCATGCTTTCACTTAGTGGATCTTCTTTTTTTTTTAAGGGGCCTAAACCTGTTCTCCAATTTTGTGGGCAAATTAATTGCAATAACAGATCCCAGTGTTTAGACATCTTTAAACATTATTACTATTAGCGTGCAAGAAATTAGAGACCTACATCAAGATCTGGAGGTTTGGGTTTGTTTTTTTTAGTTGAAAGCGAATTTCAAATCACAGTTTCCCTCATTCAAGGATCTCCAAACACTTTACATAGTTAAATGAGTCCTTGTGGCCTCCTTTTGTACAGGCAGAAGCAGTCCCCTTTCCAACAGCTTCGGCACAGCCTCAGTGGTCACCGGCTGCGTGCGCCCAGCCAGGGCGACGCGAGGACACAGGAGCTCAGGTGCAGAGGCATGATGGTGGGCTGGGGCTGGAGGGACACGTATCCCCTCCAGTTCCCGGGACACTGCTGTGGAGAAGCACCCATGTCCCCTCAGTAAAGCGCTCCACGTCCCCTCAGGGAAGTGCTCAATGTCCCCTCTGAGGTGAAGCACCCACGTCCCCTCAGCTAAGTGCTCAATGTCCCCTCTGGACGCGCCCACGTCCCCTCAGCTAAGTGCTCAATGTCCCCTCTGAGGTGAAGCACCCCGTGTCCCCTCAGAGGGGAAGGGCCCGGTGCCTTGCTCTCCCCCTGGGGCCCGTGCGGGCCCTCGGCTCACCGCGCTGGGTCTGTCGCCGCCCCAAGCAGCGCCGGAGCGCCGCACCGCCAAGAGCCCTCCGGCCAGGGGGGG